CTGCACGACAGTGTTCTAAAAACCTGTTTATCACCCACACTTATCAATCTTTACATTTAAATTCAACACTGTCAAACCGCTCAGCTCTTCATCCATCTTTTCTCAAAGGGTACACACAATTTAAAAGTTCTTCTCTGTGTCCCCAGCTAGCGTGTTATAGGCCAAGAAGTACACCAGTGTGTGGACAGCTGTGGTCACAGATATTATTGTTATTATAGACAGTACACACTGTGTACATTAATGCAAACAAACACGTTTTATTGTTCATTTAGGATATTGTACTCAGTGTAGACCGAGGAGTACAGAAAGCAGAACTTAATCACTGCTCTTCCTCATGGACATATGAGGTATTGCAGCAGTTTTTACAATTTCCTTAGCGGTATGACTTGTGTAGTCAGGTCGTCATTGATTATGCCATTGCAGGGGATTGAAATTAAGGATGGCTCGATCCGATTATCGGGATCCGTATCGATCTGACATTGATCAAAATTTCAGGAGTTGATATAAAAAAAAACGTTGATATCAAAAAAAAAACAACAAAAACAAAACAACTATTGCCCGTCTGATCCAGTACTGAAACCCGATTCTCAATTTAACTTTGCGTCACGTGCTGTAAACAGGGACACTATCGCTTCAACAACAGCGGCTCGCAGCATGCTGGAGGAGAGAAGCAGGTGTCAGAGTGATATCAGGTTGGATACTCTGAGGTGCAGTATCGATATTGGTATCAAACACAAAATTGGATCGTGCCATGCCTAATTACCCTACCTGCTTAAATCACAGGACAAAGTGTCTATGTCATTTACATGTGTCGACTAAAGCTGAGATTGGATTTTGGTCATGGAGTAATTTAGCTGGTCATTCACGAAAACACACTCCTGGGAATGTAGAATCAAGTACACTGTGGATATAAATGTCGTAACCCAACAGATGGAATCCTGAAAGGCAGTTTGTTGTGATACAGCAATGATAATCAACCTTGGCACTGACTGATTAAGAAATACTTCTGACTGTTGTATGTGTAAAGACGGGGAATATGGTTCTCAATGCTAATCGCTCCATAATTACAGGAGGAACACACCACAGAGCTTCCTACACCAGTGTATCAGAAGGCAGTGCTGCACTGGCAGTACAGTACATCGTTGATCTCACAGCCCAAAACATCATTAACAGACAGCAGAGCAGCAAACAGTGAACGGAGGAATCTACTTATTCATGCAATTCATCAAATTAGCACTGGAAGGACATCTCCAAGGAACGGAAAGAACTGGTACCAGAGTAGAAGAATCACCTTTGTTCTCATTGTGCATAAACACAACGAAATCTGTCCCCATCCTCATCCCACAAGACCATGGGCAGGTGAGAGGTAGGATTTATTTATATGTATATATATGTATATACATACGTATATGAGAAGAAGTCAAAAGTTCCAAGAGGAATTATAATTGAGAAGCTGCCTGATTTTAAGAACTGAAGATGATCAGATAGATGTTTTCTGAACTGCCAAAATGTGTATGTGAGTTAGATAGATGAGTGGATGGATGGATGGATGGATGGATGGATGGATGGATGGATGGATGGATGGATGGATGGATGGATGGATGGATGGATGGATGGATGGATGGATGGATGGATGGATGGATGGATGGATGGATGGATGGATGGATGGATGGATGGATGGATGGATGGATGGATGGATGGATGGATGGATGGATGGATGGATGGATGGATAGATAGATAGACAGATAGATAGATAGACAGATAGATAGATAGATAGAGGTTTTATTGAGGAATATTTGATACACATATAAAGGTAGGGGGAACACGGGGACACGGGGATTACAGCATGTACAGGAAGTTCGAGGTCTAAGACTTTAAAGCGGTGCCACGGGAAAGTGCAGCAAAGCAGCACAGGACGGTTGTGTTTAAGGGAGAGGTGGAAACCAGGGAGACAGAGATAGTGAAGGTGAAGAAAAAGTGAGGTGAAGATTAAATGGTGGAAACTAAGATAGGAGGAGTACTGCAGAGAGTTTAGAGTAGTGCCCAGGGATGCTTTGGGGTAGAGAAGAACTACCAGAAGAACAGCTAATGTTAGCTAACGCCTTCATGGCATTGAAAAGTTTTCCAGGACATACGATTCCTGAAGCCCTTATCTCAGTGTTTTTCTGGGGTTTGCAGTACTTGACTACTAAATGTTACAGTAATACAGTATTTTCAAAGAAAAAGCCCTAAATAGGCGTATCCAGAAGAAATAGTCCAGAAAGTGAAGTCAATAAAATTGAAGTCAAGTAATTAAAAGACTTTTTTTCTTTCTTTCTTTTCTTTTCTTTGTGATTGGAGAACACACTGTAGGCGTCCAGCTCTGTTCCCCGTGTGCAGAGAAAAGTCATGTCCATGTTCACATTCAAGCTTCCATAATGAACAGATAGAGCTAATGTGGTAGAGTAGACGTTAGAGTAGGAGTCGGGGGTGAAGTCTTCCTCGTATCAGCACCATCATCTAAAGTGCTCTCAGCGCCTGATGTGAATACATTACCTACCACCGTATCAATGGTGGTGCAGTGGAATGAGAAAATGGTGTTTCTATTTCTGTACGTGCGCTGGCAGCGGTGAGCAGACACAATAGTCTAATTGGTGACTCTGCTGTGCCAGATGTGAACATGACTGACAAGCAATTAGACCGTTCTGATTTTAAGGTGGAATAACACACAGTGGGATCAAAAAGCTGCCTTCAGCTGGGCGGAGCTGTAACACTAACGAGGACTATAATCCAACTCACTGTGTTCACTCATTATTACCCAAATACAAAAGAGAACATTCCCATATACACGCCAATCTAGGCAGTGAGGGACATGGAATGTGACAGCAGCAGCTGGACAATTATTGCTATACATTGAGATAATTATTTCATTCAGCAGCACATCGACAGTAATACTCTGCAGGACACAGCGTCTTGGGTCTGGGTCTCTGTGCTTCTCCCAGAGAATGCTAATATGTATTGAATTGCGGCCACAGCCCTGCAGGTTTGGGGTGGTTCCACACTGCCCCCTATTGGTAGCTTAGGGATCTGACATAAAGGAACAAAAATATATTTATTCATGACGGTATAATTAAATCCAATGTTTTCGATACATCGCCGTTTTCTGTCCAAGAAGCAGTTAAAACATAGTAATCCCAATGTTTCCTTTGTTACAATATCTTAACATCATTATTGCATTTACAAATGAATGCATTTAGCGGACGCTTTTATCCAAAGCGACTTACAAGAGGAGGATTATCAAGCTGCATAGAGGAACTCTTGAAAGGAGAGCACTAGTTAGGGAAGCGGAGGTTCTTAACTAGGGCGGGGGTGCAGAAGGAGAAGGGAAGTACAGGGAGGTGCTAGGACAGGAGGTGCTCTCTGAGGAGGCTTCTCATCTTGCAACCTTAGTGGAAACCTGGCTTAACAAAACCTCTTTCTAAAAATGTGTGAATTTTTTGTTGTGCTTTGAATATAAAGCGACATCATTTATTGTCTCGTGCGTTTTGTGCTACCAGTAGGAGGGGCTAGTTGTACAGAATGATGACATCCATCATCATTGGTAGCATGAAGCTCAGCATAATTTCTGAGCTGCTTCCTTTATCACCTATATTTCCATCATGCATCCATTACGTCCAGATCTGTAAAATATATGTTGTAAAAACAGGCCACTGAAATATGACTGCTGATGTACAGGACGGCTTAAATGACAACAATAGCAACAATATTCTCGTCTCTGGGATACGGTACAACTGGCTCCAACAGTGATGTGTAAAGCATTGGACCCATTGTTGTTTTTGCCTCCACTGCATTAATATATCATTGCAATAAAAACCTTCGGAGAACCCGCCCCTTGGCTCACCATTCAGACCCCTGCCACAAACATCTTGAAATATGACTTTTTAACTCAGTTCTGAAAAGAATCTTGGCCTCGGTAGACAAACGTATTGATCCAATTCAGCAGCAAAAATATAAGAAAGGTGTTTTACTACTTCGTAAGTATTTGGAGGAGGGAGCAAGAAAGCACTAAGCAGTGAGTTCTGTCAACACCTCAATAATTAATCATTTACCTTAAAAAACTGCCCTTCCCAGTCATGACTTTAAATCAATTTACTGACAAACATATATAGCTCACACACATATTTAGCTCACATTTGTGATGAACAAATGTGAGCTAAAGCCTGGCTCTTCACAGACTGTTAAATTGATGCAAAATGTTGATGCGGTCCCTCTGTGTGCCCTGAACCTGGATTTCAACACCTGAGCCACCAGCTCCATTCATGCAGAGAAAATTACCTCCATGTCTGTGTCACACAGAGTATGAAAGGGCAAACATTCACACCTGAAAATTCACAATGCACATTTCTGAATGGTGTAATCCCTCTGCCATTAAGGTTGAAATGAGGCGGCGGCGCCATGTTGACAAACAAAATCCAGCTGCCTCCAGTGAGGCATTTACAGTTTCGCAACATTACTGAAACTGAAGGGAGACGCAGATGTAGTCGCTTCAGGTTAGCAGGTGGGGAAAGTGTGTTTGTGTATAATCAGATCATTTATTCGTTGTGCATTGGTAACTAACGCCCAGAGTTAGACAGTAGGCTTAAACAGTATTCTAACACTGACATTTCAATGACTGGGCATTTTCCTTTCATTTATTTCCTCACACTACACATATAAATATGCATATATACACACATATACTTGTATGTATATATGCATGTATATATGTGTTGTGTATTCATCTGTTAAGTTCAAACTCGCCAAGTAGTTGCACGGAAACTAGTTGGCGAGTTTTACCGCCTCGTCGCAATGATGGAACAAGACTTTCTTAATACATTTCAGTTAGATGGCGACACAACCATGAAATGCCATAGTATATATACATATATATGTTGTGTGTGTGTGTGTGTGTGTGTGTGTGTGTACAATTGTGTTGTACTTCCACAATTCAAATTCTACTCTATACGAAAAATGAACAATACTTTTAAGGTTTGCTGTAAATACTTTTATAACCTAAATATTATAGAAATTGTTTTTACAAGATTTTCATTTTAATAATAATAAACAAACACGAAAAGACCAAAAAGATCTATCACATCTTCCTTGCACGTTTCTTTGGCCTCTGATTGAAGACAGGTGAAGAGCCCATCAAGGAGTCGGGTGAATGTGAGGCGTAGCTGCCGTCTGATGCTGCTCCTCCAGGTGAAGGGGCCATTGCGACTCCAGATTCGCTCATAGTGGACATGGGTCCCCCTTCCTCAAACACATCCCCACCCAGGACATTGTGGTGATGGTGTCCTGAGCCCTGGCCCTCCTCCACCTCCTGAGGTTCCATTTTGACCTGTGGCCAAAGAGGGGAGTGGCTTCCCCCGGCACCACCACCTTATTGAACAGGAGAGGACTTTGTTCATGATGAGCAAATTAAGTAGTTGACATAAAAAAATATTGGAAAATGGATTTAGAAGATATCCAGACATGGGGGAAATATGATCTTTTAAATTTCTGTGAAAAACATTTGAACCAACTCAAAGCAGCTTAAAGCAGCCCTTTTGGTTAAAATTTGAAGTTGAAACAACTAACTACATTTTATAGGGTGGTTTAAGGTACCAGTTTTATTATTTTGAAAAATACAAATCTTACCTGAAGTTTGTGGAGAATGTTCACTATCCAGACCTGAAGTCAGTCTTTCTCCGTGGCTCCCAAGAACCCCGATAGGCAGAGCCTGGTCTCCAGGGGCCAGGTCAGCTTCAGGCTCTTCGCTGACAGGAAAGGAGATGTCACTTATGGGCTCCTCCTTAATCCTCACAGGCTTGGAATCTTCCAGACCTTTATCCGGGTTCACAAGTTGTTCATACTCATCTGACAGGTCCCTGCTGACCTGAGAGAAAGGAACACTTACTCTGTAGACTGCAGGCTTATTCATTTAAATTATTGTTAAATATATATTCTACTTAACAATCAAGGAGTGGTACAAGACAGATCATTGAAGTATTTTACTCCAAGTACCTAATGAAGAGGTAAAAATAAATACATATTAATTAGCCAAGTATTTAGTCCAAATATCAAATGACCATCTGTAAAATCCTGGCTGTTTGATCTAATTAAATAATTCAAATGACATTTGTAATTTATTAACCAGTATATACAAATGATATCACTAAATGATAACACCACAGTCAATCATTGCTACAAAAAATAAATAAAAAGAATGTTTTTATTAAACGACTTCCCACTGTAATCATATCAACACTGAATCAATGAAAGAAACCACTTGAGAAAAGCTGTAGAAATAATAAAAAAGATCTTTTAATGTAAGTCAGGAGGACTTGTCAAAACATGAACTTGATGTTATTTATAGGTAATTATGTTATGATTGTACATTGTTGGCAGAAACCCAAGGAAATTGGCAAGTCAATTACTTTGCCACTGCTGGTATGGCTGGGATTGTGTGTATGTCAAGGTATAGAGCCCCCTGCTGGGGAAGAAAAGCTATACGTGTATGTGGTGGTGATAACGTCTTGTGCAGGTTCTACCTTAAATTGAAGAGTTCATATCCAGATACACTGAAGTAAAATCAAAGAGCACTTATGACCCAATAATCATCCTCACTCGTGTGCTGATTACCGGAAAACTGGTATTGAGGTAAGTCATGGGTATCGATGATCAGGGACAGAAACATCTAGTCCTAGTACGCATACTCACCTGCAGCATATAACTGTGATAATCTTTGATCCTCACTTGCCAAAAGCGCTGCAGGGCCAGCACGCTGCCAATACCAACTTCATGGAACACTTGTTCAACAACATCTGGGAAGGGACTTGCCCCGAGCAAAGCCTCACGGTCCACAGCCACGCGCAGAAGGCGAGCGATGCGCTGGTAGTGCTCGTGGACCAGGTCAGTAAGAGTCTCTAGAACACTCTCCTGAGCAAACTCAAAGCCAGCGTGGGCCAGGACAGTGGCCACTGACTGGTAAAGGAGCTGCCTACAGGAAGTCCAACTCAGCTCTGTCACAGGCTCACCTTTACCCCTTAGAGAAAAGAAGAAGGAAGGTGAAGGAAGGCAAGCCTTTATTTTTTTTTTCATTTTAATTCCATAAATGGTCCAGCAAATTTAGTTTTTCTTTACATTTAATCTATCCATGAAACAGGAATGAATGTATGCATACATATATATATATATATATATGTATATATATATATATATATCTTCTGATCTCCTATTGAGAATCTCTGGGTGGATTTCAGGACATGTTTCACAGCAAGGATGTTATCAGATCTACTGTATATTAAAGGTTCAAACTTTCTAGAATACTGTAATAAACTTGTGAGCTATTATATTATACACTTGGATATTATATTTTATATAAAGGTTAAGCTGCAATTTTATTTAAAAAAGACTGTGTATGTGTATGCTTGCCTCGTTTTCAACCATTGTACAGAATAACAATTTATATTGCATTTATTTAAAAAAAAAAACCACTTACTTATAAAAGTCACTTTCTGGGTCACTGTGATGGAGTTGGAAGGGTTGTTTTGGAGCCTTGCTGTCCACAGGGAGCAGGTCATCTGGCATGATGGGTAGCGTCGGAGGGCGTAGAGGGAGGCTGGTATCAGCCTCCTCTGTCCTGGTACCACCTTCTGTAGATGTTGAGCTTTGACCCTGACCCTGACCCTGGGCTTGAGCTGCTGCCAAGAGGCTACGCATTCGCCGCGCATGCTGACAAAGTTGCACTGTGTGGATGGTGAGGCTACATGGCTCTGATGGGATGTCCAGCATTGTTGTAGGACGTGGGCGCTGGGCTGAGGGCTGATGCAGAGGAGGGTCCTGTATCTCCACAGAACGAAACTCACGCTGAAGCAGGTCAAAGGAACTGCGGATAGGAGGCGCCCCTGCAGGTCCGGGAATCTCTCCCCAGTAACGCATCATAATGAGTAACTGTAATAAAAAAATACAATGAAGACCAAATAAATAAAATCGTGGCGATGCACAAATACTGTCTGACGCTCAACAACCAACGATTATTTCTGCAATCATCGTGAATTTAATGGCCGTTACTGGGGGAACGAGCTAATTGTTAAGAGAGTAACAGAGGAATTGGGGGGTTGGTGTACATTATACTTTACAAGTAAAAAAAACAGGGCCTTTCTTGTTGTTGTTAATTTCCCGAAAATCCAACGAAAGGGGTGTAAAGGGAACGAGTGGAGCTTTTGAGCGGCAT